CCCCTCTCTCTCTCTCTCTCTCTCTCTCTCTCTCTCTCTCTCTCTCCCGCCAGACTCCTGAATAGGCTTTCAAAAACCCACTCATACACTGAAAAAAAATTGGAATTTAAGAAGACAGGAATCAACCATGGGTGTGTAACTGTGATTAAATGACTCGGGTTCCATGCAACACGCAACACCGACCAAATGTCTCGTTCTGTGCCTGCCCGTCTCATGTCTGCATGTCTTGATTAACCAACTAACTAACCCTCTGCTCTGTTTGCGTGTCTATCTATCTATCTGTCTGTCTGTGTTTGTGTTCATGCTGCTTGCCGCGACCAGGCGGAGGTTCAGGAGCGCGGGAAGGTCGACGCCCCCACGGTGACCCAGGAGCCACGCCCACCACCACCACCGGAAGAGGAAGAAGTGGACATTGACCTCGAAGACCCGGATGTGGCCAAGGCGGCCTTGAAAATACAGGCTGGCTTTAAAGGCCTGAGGGCCCGAAAAACCCTCAGACAGAAGGTGCCAGGGAATTCTTCGAGCTCTCATGCAAAAAAATAAATTGATAGATATATTTTTTAAATAAAATCATTAATGTAAAAAAAAAAAAATGCAATGCAATTTTTCTACCCTTTTACACGCGCTCAAAACGATTTTGATGTTAATCTTGTTTTGCTAATAAAACTGTTAAACAATCCAAGTCCCATTTCTTTCGTGATTGGATGTATTACCTCCCCCCCACCCCTCCCCCCATTAAACATTTTTTTCCTCATTTCCTCCTCTCTGACATCTGTCATGCTATTTAGCCCGCAGCACTCATTCTCAATGCTGTTTTGTCATTTTATCTGGTTATTTCCTTCGCGTTTGGAATAGTTTATTTGTCTCTTGACAAAGTGAGTTTGTATTCATTTCAGAAATTCACTCCTATTACGTTGCTGCTGTTATGGTGTTAAGATTTCTAAAGCCTTGTTGAAAAGTTGTTGAAACAAATAGTATATATAATATGTAGGATACTGTTTCTAGGAATGCAATTAATGATAACCATCTTTAGTTTTTAAAAGAAAAAGAGAACTGTGTTTATCTACTCACTGTGTGTTTTGAAAAGCTATAGGCAGGTCCAAGTAATATCTTATAACAATAACATTTCCTACTGACCAGTTCCTGACTCACACCTATTGTTTGTTGCTAGCCTGTGTGCACAATGCCCC